CCCCCTCCTGGTATGAGTCGTTCGGTCCCCTCCTCGATGTGTGAGTCGTTCGGCGAGGGGCCCGAACGACACACAAGGAGGGGCCCGAACGGCTCACACCAGGGCGAGGGGCCCCAACGACGCACACCACCTGTATTCTTGACCAGGACTTGCACACTCTGAGTACCGTGATTCCACCCTTGGCTAACGGAAATCCTCAGATCTGTTCGAGGGAACCGATCTTGGAGGCGAGTTTCCCCTTGTGCTCCTCTTCCACCCCTCTCCCCCCTAACCTGCCGCCTGGTGCCCGCGCCCGACTTGATTGGCGAGCCTGCCTCTCAGGTGCAGCTCGAGCCTGCGAGCCTGAGCAGGGTACTGACTTGTGCCCCGTGCGCTCCGAGCCAAGGAAAAAAGAAAAAGGGTGACGGTGTACCGCCAGCGCCCAGTTGCAGCCAGTTCCGTGGGGCGCGCACTGCACAACTGGTCGGGGAAGATCGCTGGATCGTGGACGCCGTCGTCCATTGAATCGTCGTCGTCGAAGTCGTCGTCGTCATCGTAATCGTCGTCGTCGTCGCCGTCGTCGCCGTGATCGCCTGAGACGTCGCCGTCGTGTGAATCGTCAGACTCGTTCACGTGTATGACTCGACGACGACCGCCTTCTGTCTTGCCTCCCATCGCCTTCTCTCCCTCCTCCTCCCCCTCCCCCGAGTCGTCCTCCTTCGGCCCCCCCCCCAGAAGGAGGATGTAGGAATATATATAAAGAGGCAGGATGAAGAAGAAACAGGGGATATATGCGAGGGCACGCGGAGACACGCCTGAAACACACGACGGCCGGCATGCTTCGCAGGAGTAGTAGTACTAGTAGTAGTAGTAGTAGTAGCAGTAGTAGTAGTAGTAGTAGTAGTAGTAGTAGTAATAGTAATAGTAGTAGTAGTAGTAGTAGTAGTAGTGGTAGTAGTAGTAGTAGTAGTAGTTGTATTGTAGTAGTAATAGTAGTAGTGGTAGTAGTAGTAGTAGTAGTAGTAGTAGTAGTTCTAGTAGTAGTAGTAGTATTTGTAGTAGTCGTAGTAGTAGTAGTAGTAGTAGTAGTAGTAGTAGTAGTAGTAGTAGTAGTAGTAGTCGTAGTAGTAGTAGTAGTAGTAGTAGTAGTAGTAGTAATGGTAGTAGTAGTATCAGTAGTAGTAGTAGTAATAGTAGTGGTGGTAGTAGTATTAGTAGTAGTAGTAATAGTATTAGTAGTGGTAGCTATAGTTGTAGCAGGTATAGTTGTAGTATTCTAGTTCTAGTTGTAGCAGGTATAGTTGTAGTAGGTATAGTTATAGTTGTAGTAGTAGTAGTTCTGGTTATAGTCGAAGTAGTTATCGTAGTAGTAGTAGTAGTAGTAGTAGTAGTGGTGGTAGTGGTAGTAGTACTAGTAGTAGTAGTAGTAGAGTAGTAGTACTAGAAGCAGTACGAGGAATAGCACTAGCAGTAGCAGTAGCAGTAGCAGTAGCAGTAGCAGTAGCCGTCGTCGTAGAATTAGTAGTGGTAGTACCAGTGGTAGCAGTAGTAGCAGTAGTAGCAGTACTAACAGTAGTAGTAGTACCAGTAGGATCAGTAGTAGTACTAGTAGTGGTAGTAGTAGTGGTAGTAGTAGTAGTAGTAGTAGTAGTGGTGGTGGTGGTATTACCAGTATCAGCGGTAGTAGCAAACGTAGTCGTCAACGTTGTCGTCGCACTAGTTGTCTCAGTAGCAGTGGCAGTCACTAGAGCAGTGGTCTATACGGAAGGAATCGTGAAAGTAGTAGTAGTAGTAGTAGTAGAAGTAGTAGTAGTACTCGTAGTAGTAGTGGCCGTATCACCATGAGTAGAAGTAGTAATACTAGAGCTAGAAGTAGTAGTAGTAGTAGTAGTAGTAGACGTAGCAGTAGTAGTACTAGAAGCAGTAGTAGTGATGGTAGTCTTAGTAGTTGTAGTGGTAGTTGTCGTGGTAGTAGCAGTAATATGACTATTAGTAATAGCAGAAGTAGTAGTCTTAGTACTAATCGCAGCAGTAGTAGTAGCCCCAGTAGTACTAGTAGCAGTGGTACTGGTAGCAGTGGTAGTGGTAGTACTAGTAGTGCTAGCAGTAGTAGTAGTAGTAGTAGTAGTAGTCGTAGTAGTAGTAGTAGTAGTAGTAGTAGTAGTAGTAGTAGTAGAACTAGAACTAGTAGTAGTAGTAGTAGTAGTAGTAGTAGTAGTAGTAGTAGTAGTAGTAGTAGTAGTGGTAGTAGTGGTAGTGGTAGTGGTTAGTAGTAGTAGTAGTAGTAATAGTAGTAGATGTAGTGGTAGTGGTATTAGAAGTAGTAGTAGTAGTAGTAGTAGTAGTAGTAGTAGTAGTAGTAGTAATAGTAGAAGTAGTAGAAGAAAAAGAAGAAGAATAATAATAATAAGAAGAAGAAGAATAAGAAGAAAAAGAAGAATATGACTAATAATCATAATAAGAAGAAGAAGAAGACGAAGACGAAGAAGAAGAATAATAATAAGAAGTAGTAGAAGTAGTAGTATATGTTTTTTGGGAGCCTCTTGGAGGCCTCTTGGGGCGTTTTCGGGGCCTCTTGGCGGCCCCAGGGGCTTCTAGGAACGTCTTGGGTGCCTTGGGAGAGCGTCTTCGGGCCTCTTGGGAGCCTCTTGGATGCCGTTTGGGGCGTCTTGGGGGCCTTTTGGCGGCTCCAGGGGCTTCCAGGAGCGTCGTGGGTGCCTCGGGGGAGCCTCTTGGGGCCTCTTGGGGGCCTCTTGGGGGCGTCTTGGGGGCCTCTTGGAGGCCTCTTGGGGCCTCGTGGGGCTCTCTGGGAGGAGTCTGGGAGGAATCTTGGGGCCATCTGTCGGGCGATCGATCACAGATGAGGGGAGCATTTTTCTGCCCCCCCCCGTCGGGGCCAGAATCCTCGTGAGGTGTGTCGAATTTTAGCCCTCCCAGGTGTCGAAAAAGACATCTCCAACCACCCGCGGGACGCCCTCTCCAGGCCCAGGGGGAGGGGGTTGGGGGAGGGGTAAACCCCTCCCCGAAGGGGAAGAAGGGGGGGTGAGAACAGAGAGAGCTCCCTAAACCACTCACGCCCAAAGGGCTGGTGGGATTACACCGCATCCCAGGCACCTCCGCGACAAGATCGAGGAGGAGGGTGAAGGGCCCACTCGCGGCGATCATGTATGAAGGCGGCCGCTTTTGTTGGCAGACCCTCGGCACGGCCCCGATCACGATGGCAAAGTTGAGCGGCGGCGCCGCGAGAGGAGGTCCTGGACCCTGTTGACGTCTGGAGCCGGAGGAGACCGCTCCCACGGGCGGGGGCCGCGCTGGGCGCGCTTGAGGTCGGCCACTGGTCATCGCAGGACGTCGGGGCCCCCAGCCTGTGCGTGCCAGGCAACGTTGCGCCTCAGCTTCTCCTCGAAGCTGGGGACGCGGCCAGCGACGAGGGCGGCCAGGGCGGGGAGGCCCGCGACGATCCTCTGCACGATGGCGTCGTCGCCGACGAGCATCTTGAGGTGCTTCAGCGCCTCGTCCCGCTCCTGCACCGCCGCTTCCAAGCCAGCTTTGAACCAAGTGATCGCCCGATTTGCTGATAGACGTGTATGTTCGCGAGCACGTGACCAACGCAAGGCACGTGACAAGAACTCAGCGGCGCCACCAGGAGCGCCTCCCGCAGCCACCTCCACGCCAGAGGGCCCCCAATCGCCGCCACCGTAAGACATGTCGTGCGATCTTGAGCAATAGGGGTTTGTCCGCTGGTGGAAGGAATGAGCCCAAATGCCTACGGACGGAGGTAGAGGAGGAGGAGGAGGAGGGGGAGGAGGAGGAGGAGGGAGGAGGAGGAGGAGGAGAAGGAGGGAGGAGGAGGAGGAGGAGGGGGAGGGGGAGGAGGGAGGAGGGAGGAGGGAGGAGGGAGGAGGGAGGAGGGAGGAGGGAGGAGGTGGAGGAGGATGATCATGAGGAGGAGCTTACTGCTCGTGGCGCGAAGCATGGCTGGCAGGTGCGTCTTGATCTCATCGGCGTTGGCGCGAAGGAGGAGAGGAGAGGGAAGGGGTTGCAGCCGCTGACTGGTGAAAGTAGTAGACAGTGGTCAGCTGATTGAATCGCTTCGCTCACTCCGCCGGCCCATCCTGTATCAATAGTGCTATATGTGGGCGTGCTCGTGGCGAGCGAGAAGGAGGAGGAGGAATAGAGGAGGATGAGGAGGAGGCCTCTCGATGGTTTCTTGGGGCATTTTGGGGCCAAACTTGGGGTCTCTTGGGAGGTCTCTCGGGTGCGTCTTGGCGGTATTTCTAGGACCTCCTGGGGCTTCATGGGAGCCTGGCCGTCTGTTCCGGTCCCCCGTCGGGGCCCGCTCTTGGAGCCGTCTTGGGGGCCTCTTGGGCCATCTTGGAGGCTTCTGGGGCTCTCTTGGGGCCTTCTGGGGCCGTTTCGGGGCGCTCTTGGAGGCCTCTTGGGCCGTGTTTGGGTGATCTTGGGTTCCTTTGGGGCCGTCTTGGAGCGCCGGTGAGCCGAAAAGGCGAGAATGCCAACATCTTCTCAAAACCGAAGGGGAAATCACAAATTTTGCATCTTGGGGGCCTCTTGGGAGGTGTCTCGAAGGCATCTTGGCGCGTCTGGGTGGGATTTTGGGCCGGCTTGAGGCAATCTTGGGACGCTTTGGAGCGCTCTTGGCCCGGGGCTGTGGGGCCTGCCACTTCATTGACGCCTCCTTGGGGCGCTCCTGCAGCGCTCCAGGGTCTTCCGAGGCCGCGCCCAGGAGGTCCGGCATCTCTGACCCGACCTTGCCGGGACTCTGCTGGGTATCGCCTGGGGTACTTCCCGCCTGGGGATCACCTGGGGCCGCCCCGTGCGCGCGCGAACTAGAATATTGTTAACCAGCAGCCGGAGATCTTAGCACCTCTGGCCCGTTGGGCCGGCAAATTTTCCGCCGTGCGCGCGGCGTGGTCTCGAGCTGCCAGCGTCATCATCAAAGCCGTCGATGTCGCTGCCGTCGCCGTCGGTTTCGCCTGGCTGCCCCCATCAGCCGTCGCAAGGCGGGTTTGCGCCGCATCCATCGCGAGCTCGTGCTGCAGCCGGGCGCGCAGGTGGCGGAGATGCCCAGGCCCTCCGCAGGGCAGACGCGGGACAAGCGACCGCCGATGAGCAGAGAAAGGCAGCGGGGGCAAGAGAGAGAGAGAGAGAGGGTGGCGTGGGGGTAGCGGTCGAGGATTCGAGGGCGAGGCCCTGCGGTTCTTGGTTATTCCCCACATGCTTCGTGGGGTTCTGGTTTTCTTCCCACCCGCGCCGCACCCGCGTCTCACCCACACCCGCCCTCCTCCCCTCCTCCTCCTCCTCCTCCCCCTCCTCCTCACGCACACAGCACAGCGCAGCGCAGCGCAGCGCAGCACAGCACAGCACAGCACAGCACAGCACATCACAGCGCAGCGCACACAGCACAGCACAGCACAGCACAGCACAGCACAGCACACACACACACGGCTTGGCACGTGCGGCACATTCTCGACGCCATAGGGGTCGTCCACGGCACAGCAGGCGTGGCAGTTTTGCACAGCACACCTGCACAGCACAGCACAGCATAGCACAGTACAGCACACCGCAGCACAGCACGGCACGGCACAGCACAGCACATCGCAGCACAGCTCAGCACAGCATAGCACACAGGGCAGGCGCGCAGGGCACGGCACGGCAGAGCGTGGCAGGGGTGGCACTTTCTCGACACCACAGGGGGTGCGCAGGGGGTGGTCCCTGAGCTCGGCCGCTATGCACGACGGTTGTCCAGGCACAGCAGGCGTGGCACTTTCTCGACACCACAGGGGGTGCGCAGGGGGTGGTCCCTGAGCTCGGCCGCTATGCACGACGGTCGTCCAGGCACAGCAGGCGTGGCACTTTCTCGACACCATGGGGGTGCGCAGGGGGTGGTCCCTGAGCGCGGCCGCTATGCACGACGGTCGTCCAGGCACAGCAGGCGTGGAACTTTCTCGACACCAGAGGGGGTGCGCAGGGGGTGGTCCCTGAGCTCGGCCGCTATGCACGACGGTCGCCCAGGCACAGCAGGCGTGGCACTTTCTCGACACCATAGGGGGTGCGCAGGGGGTGGTCCCTGAGCTCGGCCGCTATGCACGACGGTCGTCCAGGCACAGCAGGCGTGGCAATTTCTCGACACCATAAGGGGGTGCGCAGGGGGTGGTCCCTGAGCTCGCCGCTATGCACGACGGTCGTCCAGGCATAGCAGGCGTGGCACTTTCTCGACACCATAGGGGGTGCGCAGGGGGTGGTCCCTGAGCGCGGCCGCTATGCACGACGGTCGTCCAGGCACAGCAGGCGTGGCAATTTCTCGACACCACAGGGGGTGCGCAGGGGGTGGTCCCTGAGCGGCCGCTATGCACGACGGTCGTCCAGGCATAGCAGGCGTGGCACTTTCTCGACACCACAGGGGGTGCGCAGGGGGTGGTCCCTGAGCTCGGCCGCTATGCACGACGGTCGTCCAGGCACAGCAGGCGTGGCACTTTCTCGACACCACAGGGGGTGCGCAGGGGGTGGTCCCTGAGCGCGGCCGCTATGCCGACGGTCGTCCAGGCACAGCAGGCGTGGCACTTTCTCGACACCATGGGGGGTGTGCAGGGGGTGGTCCCTGAGCTCGCCGCTATGCACGACGGTCGTCCAGGCACAGCAGGCGTGGCACTTTCTCGACACCATAGGGGGTGTGCAGGGGGTGGTCCCTGAGCTCGGCCGCTATGCACGACGGTCGTCCAGGCACAGCAGGCGTGGCACTTTCTCGACACCATGGGGGGTGCGCAGGGGGTGGTCCCTGAGCTCGGCCGCTATGCACGACGGTTGTCCAGGCACAGCAGGCGTGGCACTTTCTCGACACCACAGGGGGTGCGCAGGGGGTGATCCCTGAGCTCGGTCGATATGCACGACGGTCGTCCAGGCACAGCAGGCGTGGCATTTTCCCGACACCATAGTGGGTGCTCAGGGGGTGGTCCCTGAGCTCGGCCGCTATGCACGACGGTCGTCCAGGCACAGCATGCGTGGCACTTTCTCGACACCATGGGGGGTGCGCAGGGGGTGGTCCCTGAGCGCGGCCGCTATGCACGACGGCCGTCCAGGCACAACAGGCGTGGCATTTTCTCGACACCACAGGGGGTGCGCAGGGGGTGGTCCCTGAGCTCGGCCGCTATGCACGACGGTCGTCCAAGCACAGCAGGCGTGGCACTTTCTCGACACCATAGGGGGTGTGCAGGGGGTGGTCCCTGAGCTCCCAACTTTTGCACCTTTGTCGACGACTTTGGTCGCGAAATCTCCTTGACCTTTTCGTCCCCTAAGCTTGTCAAGCTTTACTGTAAGGAAGCTCATCTTCGGGGTCTTGAAAGGGAGTCGGGGGGCAAATATGGTTGCGGTTTCAGGCTTTGCTGGGACGTGGTCAAACAGCTGATGTCTTCCAGGAAGGTTTCTAGCAACACCAAAGGCTGGATCCGAGCTCAGGCCACGAGAGCTTGCTGGACGGCAAGCGATGTGGCAGCTGCAGGGTATGACTTTTCTGACAAGTGCGCGCTGTGCGGCAAGGGCCGCGACACCCTCTTCCACAGGCTCTTCGTGTGCCCGTCTGTGCAGTCTGTGAGGGAAACGGTGCTTGATAAAAGTATTCAGAATGAAGCGTTGGTGCTAGGTGCAGATCATGTCGACATGTGTCTGTACTTGCATGGGGCCTTCAAACATCCTGGAGACTATGCCCCACCGCCACTCACGGAAGGAGGTACTAGCCTGGAATGGTTCGTCGATGTTCTTCCTGACCCTGGGGGCCTTGCTGCTGCTCCCTCGATTCCTCCCTCCGCGGGGCTCTGGGGGCACCTCTTTATGGATGGCTCTTGGCATCGCCATGTAGTGCGTGGGCTCCCTAGGGCCGGCTGGGCTGTTGTCATGGTTTCATGTTCGGGTGAGCGCCTCGGTGTTTTGAAAGGTCCTCTGTGGGCCCCGTGGCCTCAGACGCCCCAGGGTGCCGAGTTTGGGGCCCTGGCCTGGACCGCTGTGCAAACCGAAGGCCCTGCCCTGTGTTATTCTGATTGTGCTAATGTGGTTCATATAATGAATCTAGGAGCTGCCGACGGAGTCAGCGCCAGGCGGCAGTATGCGGGCCAGATCATTCAAGTTAGGCACTACTTCGGCACCAACCTGGTCTCCTTAGATAAGGTTGAGGCCCACAAAGATGCTGACGAGGAAGGGCTCTCCTCGCGCGAGAGATTCTTGCGAAGAGGGAACTTCTTCGCCGACGTCTACGCGAAGGAGGGTGCTAAGCAGCACCCTTCCATGTCCCCAACGGAGCAGGAGGCCCTCGAACATCAGATTCTAGTATCGAGGGCGATCTTGCTGGCGGGAGCGGAGCTCTTGCCACTTTGGCCTAAGTTGGAGTTTCGAGGTCTGCTGCGCGGCCCTCCGCTGCTCGACTCGAAGGCCCCCCTTTTAGAGCTCGTCCACGACTGGTCCCAACAAGGTTCCTCCTGGAGGTGTCGTGTGTGCCTGCGCGGTTCCCGTGCGAAGGCCAAGCCGCTAGGAGGAACGTGCCCTGGGCAGTCCCGTTTGGACCAGGGTCTGTTGGAGAGACTGGGCCATCGAGTCATTGCCTTCCCGTGCAGTGACAATGGCCACCTGTACTTGTGCATGTCGTGCAAGTTTTATTCTAGCGGTGAAAAGGTCCTGGGTTTGTCCCGCAAGTGCGGGCCCCCCACGGAGACAGGTTTCAGAAACTTGAGACGGCTCCGAAAAGGACTGCGCCCCGATAAGAGGGGTGTCTCGGTCGATATCGACGAATCCATCCCGCTATTATAACTACAGGTAATTTATTCCCCGCAGTGCGCCTCTGGCTGTTGGAGCAAGCTGTCGCTTCAGAGGCATGAGTGTTGCATTCAAAAAAAAGCTCGGCCGCTATGCACGACGGTCGTCCAGGCCCAGCAGGCGTGGCATTTTCTCGACACCATAAGGGGGTGCGCAGGGGGTGGTGCCTGAGCTCGCCGCTATGCACGACGGTCGTCCAGGCACAGCAGGCGTGGCACGTTCTCGACACCATAGGGGGTGCGCAGGGGGTGGTGCCTGAGTTCGCCGCTATGCACGACGGTCGTCCAGGCATAGCAGGCGTGGCACTTTCCCGACACCACAGGGGGTGCGCAGGGTGTGGTCCCTGAGCTCGGTCGATATGCACGACGGTCGTCCAGGCACAGCAGGCGTGGCACTTTCCCGACACCAGAGGGGGTGCGCAGGGGGTGGTCCCTGAGCTCGGCCGCTATGCACGACGGTCGTCCAGGCATAGCAGGCGTGGCACTTTCTCGACACCATAGGGGGTGCGCAGGGGGTGGTCCCTGAGCGCGGCCGCTATGCACGACGGCCGTCCAGGCACAGCAGGCGTGGCATTTTCTCGACACCACAGGGGGTGCGCAGGGGGTGGTCCCTGAGCGCGGCCGCTATGCACGACGGTCGTCCAGGCACAGCATGCGTGGCACTTTCTCGACACCATAGAGGGTGTGCACGGGGTGGTCCCTGAGCGCGGCCGCTATGCACGACGGTCGTCCAGGCACAGCAGGCGTGGAACATTCTCGACACCATAGGGGGTGCGCAGGGGTTGGTCCCTGAGCGCGGCCGCTATGCACGACGGTCGTCCAGGCACAGCAGGCGTGGCACTTTCTCGACACCATAGGGGGTGCGCAGCTGTAGCATCATAATCGTCACCATCATCAAGAATTGTAGCCACCCTGGCTCATGCGGGCTCAGACTGCTGGATATGTGAATGCGGACTTCCTCTCTCTCCCTGTCTTCTCGTTCTCCCCTCACTCTCCTCCGCCCCCCCCTCTACCTTCCCGCCTCTGCCTCCCTCCTCCATGCCGCTGCTCCCGCAAACGTCGCGTTCGTCGTCGTCGCCGTCGTCTTCGTCGTCGTCGTATTCGTTGTCCTCGTCGCACGCGTCGTCGTACTCGTCGTCGAAATCGTCGTCGCACCTCGTCGTCGCACTCGGGGGCGCTCCTGCCCTCTCCGCTCTACCTGCCCTCGACCATCCCTCTCCTCCCTCCTGCTGCCACTGCTCCTCCTCCTCGGAGGCCCGGGCGCCGCCGCCGCCGCCGCCGCCGCCGCCGCCGTAGTCGTCGTCGTCGTCGTCGTCGCCGTCGCCGACGATTGTTGGAGTGACTCATCTGGTTGGTTTGGCTGGTCTGCTTGATTGGCCTGGCTGGCTGGTCTGATTACTTTGGCTGGTTGTGGCTGGAATGACTGATCTGACTGGTCTGGTCAGTCTGGCTGGTCTGGCTCAAAAAGGCGAAGCGGGATGTGACATGGTTTGTGAACACACGTGACATAAAATAAGTATGTGGGGTTCCTCGGTAGCGTAATTCGGGCTTCATCGGCGGGCGCCACCTGCGGGGCCTTTCGCGCGGGGGTCGCTGACTGTGCGCCCAGCAGGCGCATCATGCGGGCCTCGGCCTCGTTCCTGAGGCGCCTTGTCACGAGGGAGCTCGAGCTGAAGGCGCCCCCCCTTCACGCGCGCGCGCGGGTCCCCGCCCGAAGGCGTGTGCCTCTGGAGGGGATCCTCACCGTCTTACCTCTTCCGTGCCACCTCTCTCCTCCATTTCCGAGGAGGAGGACACCGAGGGAATGGAGGAAGAAGGGGAGGAGGACGAGGAGTAGGACGCGGAGGAAGAGGAGGAGGTGGAGACGGAAGCAGGAGTAAAGGAGGAAATGGAACAGAGGGGCGTGGAGGATCAGGGAGCAGGGGAATGAGGAGCAGGAGGTGGAGGAGGAGGGGGAGGAGGAGGAGGAGAGCGAGTCTTCGATGGGAGAGTGTGCAATGGGGGATGCGCCGCGAGGTCTGCATGGATAACGACGTTAGCGGTGCCCAGATGGACCTGAAGCACCTCTCTTTGGCGGGGTGGCTTCGGGGGTCCTGGGAGACTGGAGGCCTTTCCTCCCGCTTACCTTCCCAAAGGAATCAGACGTCACTGAAAGGTTGAAGTGCGTTTGAGCTTGTGTGGTGCGGTATCGTGCTCTGCGTTGGAGGGGGGGACGATGGGAGGGAGTGCCCCACACAGAGGTGCCTCTGCATCCTGAACTCTTCGGCAGGGGCAGGCGCCAGCATCGCCCTCCCTGCCCCCTCAACATTCGACCCCGTTTCCTGTAAGCGGCAGTTCTTGGGCCGCAGAGCGGAAGCACCGCGGCCACCTCCCCAAGGGTAGAACCCGCACGGCAAGGCATCACGCCGTGGCGACGTTGGGGCCATCGTGGGGCCCTTGGGGGTTCTCTTTGGCCTCTTGGGAGCCTCTCGCCATCTCGGGGCCCTCTTGGGGCTCTCTTGGGGTCTGGAGGCCTTGCTTCCCTCTTGAATGTCTCCACGGGCTCTATGGGGGCGGAGATGAGGCGGTTGTTGCCATATCTTCTGTCATGTTGAATCCTCGTCTTAAATCCGCAGCGCTGCGCCGCACCTCCCACCTTCCTCCCCTCCTCCTCCTCTTCATCCTCCTAATTTCCAACCCTTCTGTGGTGCTGGTCCTCGTTTACCCTCCGCAGTGACGCGCGTCTCCTTTTTCGTCCCTTCCTTCACTATCCTTATTCCATCCTTCTCCTCCTCCTCCTCCTCCTCCTCCTCCTCCTGCTCTTCCCTGGCATTGCTCATTTCGGCCCACTGTCCACGTTGCGTCACACACAGAGTGCTCCACCTGCGGCCCGAGTGAGGGCGCCCGCATAGAGCCGCGGCGCCCATTTCGGTACATTCCTCACGCTGTGCCTCAATGGCGCCCAGATGGCGTCGCCACGCTTATTTTGGCATACCATTCGTGCGTTTCGTGCCCCACTGCAAGGTCGACCCCCCAGCGTCGCCACGCCCACCTCGGCGAACCTATCACGTGGGTCTGGAGTTCACATTCCGTCCCAGTGAGGGCGCCCGCATGGCGCCGCGCCCATTTGGGCACACCCCTAACGCGGCTCGTGCCTAACGAGGATCTTTATCTACGGCCCGGCCTCAGCGAGAGCACCCGCATGGCGTCGCTATGCCCATTTCGGCAGATCCCTCACGCGTTTCGTGCCCCACAGGCGGCTCCACCTAACCTTGGGGGGCTCTCTTCGGTGATCTTGGTTCCCTCGTGACGCCTCAACCCAGGTGCAAACTCGCTTCAGGGTGTAAAGGATTCTGGCCTCTCAAGGGGATCATTGGAGGGCTCCGATGCAACTTGGAGATGCCTTTGTGATATGGGAGATAGTCGATGGATCTTCTTACTCGCGGCCTCGCGAGGGGCGTAGCTCTAAGGCCAAGGGCCCTAGTTCGAAATAAAACGGCAGCGGCGAGCAAGGGATGAAACACAAGCCCCTCGGGAGTGAGCTTGATTCACACTCCTCCTAGTCGCCGCCTCGGGCGGTCTCTGACAGGCCTGAGCGGGGACTAAAGCAAACAAGTCACTCGCGAGCAAAACACGGAGATGAACAAGCAAACGGTTTGCATGGCATTCAAGGTATACTCAGCAATGGCCAGGGTTCGATCGCGATGCGACAGAACCCAAAAGGAATATATCCTTCTTCTCAAGAGACTAAACGGGGTGTGATCGTCATCACAACACAAACTGCGCGCACTGAAACGACTGAAGCTTTCAAACAACGCGGTGTTACGTGTGGATCTTTATCTTGGAGTAAAAATGCGGCGATTCGGAATACGTGAATTTTTACCAAACGTAAAGTCTGATCAACGATGCGAAACACATAAATCTTGACCGGGCGTACAGTATGAGCAACGATGCGAAACACATGAATCTTGACCGGGCGTACAGTATGAGCAGTAGAACCTTGCCGGTCTGATCGGCCAAGTTGCCGTCCGAAAACCAAGCGTGGTTCATTTTTCTTTCTTCGGCTTCGCCAGTTTGCCCGCCAGATCAGATTCTCGCTAAACGTCTTTGCCTGTGAGCTTCCACCAGCGGCCCTTGAGGTCATTCATCACACTCTCCGGGAAGATCGTGAAATCGGGGTTGCCGAAATGATAGTGCCGAAGAAGCCACGATGCGTGCTTCTTGCAGGTCTTGCAAATAATATATATATATATACATATATATATATATATATATATATATGTATATATACACTGTGCGGGTCGTGGCCAATGACAACATCATGATGGGGAATGCCTGTCACACAGCTGAGCATGTCGCTCGGCTGCACAGTCGGGGAGGACCCGCTCCACGACACAACAGTGGCTGATGAGGCCGAAACGGAATTCGATGAGTTTGTCACGGAAACCGCGGTCGGTGATGCAGGAGCCGAAGTTCCTTGCGACCTTGCTGATCTTGATCGTCCAGGTCCCCGTGCATATGTTGCGGCATATGGTGATGACGGTGGTGGTGCGTTGGCAGGCGGTGGTTCTGTCGGTATTTGCGGCGGTGGCGGCTGCTGAATCGTAGCAGATGCTACTGGGTTCGATGCCTGTGCGTTGCTGATTACGTCCGCGTGGGACATAATGATGTCACCATCGTGTTTACGGTCCTCTAGGATAGTCGGTGGTATAGTGCGGCGTCGGCCGAGCATGCGGCCGTCCCAGCCAGGGTGCTCGCCCATGGCCTTCGCCTCGGCGACATTCTCTTCGGTGGCGATCGCGGTGTTCTGCCTCATGATCGCCCAGAGCGTCACGAAGATGCCGAAACAGGTAGTCATGCCGAGGACCAGCGTGGACGTCAGCAGGCAGATGTAGAAGCTGTAGGTCGGCATCGTCGGCGTTGGCGCGGGCTGTCCCTTGACCTTGCCGAGGCAGGTGAAAAGGACTGAGGCGAGCATGGCAGCGCGTTGCTGCCGTGTCCCATAGGTGTGTTTGCGAGCCCCGAAGAACGACAGCAGGACGCCAGCCTCCATCGTCTTCGTCAAGGCGTCCGCGACCATGGCCCAGGTCGGGATCCAGCTGAGATTGAGCGCACTGTTGGGGTGCACGGCCTCCTGGATCATGGAGGCGGCGATGCGGAACCGCTTGTCGGTAGATTGGCCCACATCTGAAGCGATGTGCGTCACGAGACCATTGCTGTCGCTGGAGATCTCCCCAGGGCGCTTGTCGGCGAGCACGTCGATCTGCTCGAGCGCCGCGTTGGGGTTGTAGGCCTCGGTCAGCAGTTGTCGGAATCACACGTTGGTCTCCGATCCCATCGAGGGTAGCGTATCCCTCGGCAGCGAGGGTCGACTTCACAGACCTCTTGACTGTGCCAGAGTGCCAGGCCACAGGCAGGCACAGGTCGTAACGGCAGCCGACGACGTCACGCGGACGATGGGCGAGCCCCATCACCATGCCTCACTGGCTCTTGACGCCGTCCACGTTGGCGAATCCGGCGTCGCTGAAGCACTCGGTGATGGCCGTCTTCAGGTCGACGAGCTTGCGCTTGAGCACGATCGCGTAGTTCGCGGTGGAGTGCACATATGCGACCGTCTTATTGAGCGTCTTCGCGTCGGCCACGGCAGCGACGTTGGCGCGTCGAGCTGCGAAGCTCACCGGGCAGGCGATGCCCACCCGGGTCTGCACTGCTAGCCACATCAGCTGCCCGAGCGCGTCGCGGTTGCTCGCCACCTCGGCGGCGGCGAGGCGGTCCTCAGCACCTCGGCCCTTCTGGGCCTTCACGTCGACGTAGCCCACCTGCGCCGCAGCGGCGGCCTGGGTCACGCGGAACTCGTCGTCAGGCTTGGTACTCGTACGTCCGCATTGCATGATGGCCCCTTCGACTGGCTTGAGGTGTAGCTTCTTCCCCAGCGATTTGATAGTGGTCTTTCACTCGGTGGACTTGTGGCGCTGGGCGATAAGGAGGTCGTCCACATGTGAGTGGGCCACCGCGGCGAGCCCACCTTCGTCGTAGAAGTAGTGGAGGCCTTTCGCGAGCGTGCCCTCCACGAGGTCGTGCTCGGCGAAGACCATCTGCGCGTAGAGGTACCGCTGCCTCCGGGCATCGCGCGTCACGTAGATCGCGCCTGTGGCCATCGCGATCTCGCAGGGCTGGGTCCCCGGCGGCGGGTTCTTGGCCGGCGTGCGCAGGAGCAGTGGCTTCTCAATGTTACCCGACTGCAGGTAGGTCGCCATCGCGTCGCAGGACGAGACGCCCCAGTCCTTCCGGGCCGCGGCAGCCAGGGTCAGGTACAGCGCGCCCCTGGACCCTGTAGGCGCGTCCGCCCTGATCTGGGAATTGTCTTCCTGGCATCCCTGCGCGACCAGTCGCGCCTTCATGATGTTCTGGCATTTGCTGGTCAGCACCCAGCGTGCGCCCACAGGGCGCATGCCAGGGTTGCCCCGCAGGAGTTCCTTCAGCTCCTTGGGGGGAGCTTCTTGTAGGTGCCGAGCTCCGTCCACTTGGGCCACTCGGTTTTCATGGCGGCGTCCATGTTCTTCTTTTCGGTGGCGCTCAGCGTGTCATGCTTGAGCTCCTTGGCGGTCGCGGTGCCCGTGAGCAGTGCCTCGCGGAGTCGTGTGCTTGCGTGGAGCTCGTCCGCGTGCTTCTGGAAGTAGTTATCTAGGTAGAGGTCGACCTTGTTCGTATCCTTCGGCCTCTTGAAGCACTTGGGCCGGTCGTTCAAGAGATCCTTGCGCGTGGCAGCGCGCTCGCGGGGGTTGAGCTCGTGCTGGCGGTCGCGCTACAGTGCCACTGGTGCGTTCCCCCGTTGAACTAGGCGCTGTGTCTCGGCGCCGCGCTGGTTCTCGGTGTCCGGCGGGCGCCGCGACGTCGTCTCCTGGCGCGCCTGCTCCTCCGCAATCTTGGCCCATCCTCGAATCATGTCCGAGCCATCGGGCTCGATGTCGTCGTCGACCTGGCCCTGGGGGGCAGGTTCAGGGGGGCGGCGGAAGTGGCTGCAGGAGCGGCAGCATCGCCTGAGTCTGAGGCTGACGCCGGCCGGTCGGCGGCCGCTGGCGGCGGCGGCGGCC